CAATCCATATGATAACAAGGATTTAAAGTATGCATGGTATAGAGTGCGAACAGTCTCGATCCCTAGCACTCTGCTGACTATTCGTAGGGCAAAACATATTTTACATAACTTGTTTGCTAGCTTTTGAGTATGTGTAGACCACTCTAAATTCTTGTCTAGCCATATTCCCCAAAATTTTGTGTATTCCACATTATTGATTTCTTTGCCATAAAATTTTATTGACGGGTATTCTAGGTACATCTTCTGAGTGTGCTGGAAGGATATTGCTACCGTTTTCTCTATATTAATAATTAACTTATTCTTTCGAACCACTCTGAGTGTATTTATTGTTTCACTTATTTCCTTTTGGACAACATCGACCATATTCCCTGATATAAAAAGACTGGTATCGTTGACAAAGAACGTTGGTTTTCCCTGCTGAATACCTGCTTCTAAATCATTGATATATAGCAGAAACAAAACTGGTCCAAGAACAGAACCTTGCGGGACTCCATGACTTACGGGTCTTTGTTGTTGGTTACAAATACAAAAGCCATAAATGCAGTACAACTGAGACACAAAAAAAAATACATCCACACATATAAGTCAATACTGTCAACTTATGCTATGTACATAACCTTTTAAAAGGATGAGTCATTATTAGACATTTTAAGACATATCACTCGTATTATACAATTACTGAAATACATCAATAATTATAAATACAACACTGAGGCTACTGACACCGTCGCAAAATAGTTCACAGCAAGAAAATCCATGGACACCACATAACCCTCTAATTACTGTTCAGACTGCTACGCTTGCCCCCTCCAGTGTCGTACTTCCATATATTCCACTTCACTCGTCAGCTCATTCTCCTCATTTTAATTCATGCGTGCAACCACGGATTCGTACACCACGTGTGGGTTCTCGTGGTAGATACTATCAATGGGATATTGAATTGAATTGAATTGAATTTATTTACATTCCGTTACCTCATCGGTCTCATCTCAGAGCAGGCCATTGCTGCCAACGCTGTCAACGGTACTCTGAGCTCTGAAACGTGAAATGTGAGAGATCTGATTACATCGCAATGATAGCAGTTAAGGAAGCAATTTTCGTTATGCTTATAAGTCTTATATTGTGAGGTGTAAACAAGGAATTCTGGAAGGGTTTAATTTATATGGCATTCGTTTGTTAAATAAGTTTAGTGTCAAGAACATACTGGTAATTCTTGTAGGGTACAGAAATGTCTAGCTTGGTGAAGAGTATTACTCATTATGTTGTAAATACACGGTCCCTAAGGAATGTTGCACGGTTTGAAAGTGTGTTTGTTAGACGTCAGGTGTTTCAAAAAATTGATCAAAACGTTAAATATTTAAAGACAGTAGCAGCTGATACAAAGCTTATCGAAGAAGCTAGTACTACAACTGAAGAAGATGACGAAGTTACGGCCAGAAAGGAAGAAGAAATTCAAAGGAAAAGAAATAAATCCCGATTGAATCCTCAGCATAGAAACCTACTGCATGAAAAAGTGCCTTATTCTGAACCCATGGACTGGTTTCATGAAACCGTGAAATATAAGCGTAAGATGTATGGTCGCTATGGGCAGTCAAGTGGAGTTCTTCCAGGTATAATGTGGCCCACTAGAGAGGAACTAGAAGAAATGAAAGAGTATGAGAGCGTGGCATATCCGTATACTATTCAAGAACTAATGACGAGAGCGGAGACTAAAAAAAAGGAAGAACAGGAAGCATTAAAGGCGAGGTAGGTTTTAATGTAAGGAGTAGGAAAAATGCACATACATACATACATACATACATAGCTACATGGTTTCACAGATCCTTTCTCCGGATACCGGACTGGATATTGAACTCGTCACAGCCAAACTGACATTGCAATGTGCAACCTGGTCTAGACAATAAAAAATTCAACAATTGTAACATTGATAGGTACAACAGAATAAAATCAATCATCTTACAATTCTTGCTAGAACATAGTCTTAGAAAACAGACTGTAACAGTGCATAAAATTACCTACTTGCCATATATTCACCTACCGAGTAAAATGCTTTTGAAGCCAGAAAATCCTTTAGTCTTTGTTTAAAAATATTAATATTGTCTTTCAAGATATATATGTTTTGTGGCAGGTTGTTAAATATTCTAATAGATGTAAAATGCACACCCTTCTGAATGGAAGATAATCTCACAGAAGAAACATGTAGCCTATTGTGCCATCTGGTACTTATTTGATGTATGTTATCGTTTGTTTGGTACATATTATAATTTTTAATTACAAACAATATCATAGTATATATATATAAGCAGGGGACTGTAAGTATACCCAATTTCTTAAAGCCTTCCCTACATGAATCTCTAGGACCCAGCCTTAACAAAACTCTTATTGCTCTTTTTTGGGCCACAAATATGCTTTTCATTGATGAAGATGAGCCCCAGAAAATAATTCCGTAATTGAGTTGAGCCTGAACATGGGAAAAATAGACGATACGTAAAACTTGTCCATTCACAATGGGTTGTAATTTTCTAAGCATGTAAATTGCAATGCATAATTTTTTTATTAAACTAATCGAATATTGTTTCCAATTAAGATGAGAGTCAAGGCACATACCCAAGAACTTAACATTCTCATCAATATTAAGATTTTGATCATTATATTCTATATGTAGTGGATAGTCTAAAGCCTTAGGAATGGCACGTTCTTGGTTTGCTGTTATGGTACAGGTGTTATGTTATTCATGGTAAGACTATAAGACATCTTTTCTATAGTGATCACTTGTGTTAGGTGGCCTGACAGGATTTGCATTAGTAATTGTAAATAAAACCCAAATTAAGTGACTGTTGCAGAGGCTAGTTAGGTTGCTGCACTTTATATTAAATGTAACAATTGTAAATATAACCTTAATTCTGCACCATACTGTAGAGCTATGCCCTGAAGAGGTTTAAGGTTCCTTAATATGGAGCCAGGTAACATCCAGCAAGGAAAATGATGCAGGTGCATGAAAGAGTTTGTGAGTTTCCTAATATGGACCCAGGTTACAACCCGCAGTGAAAGACTGAAGAAGTGGTTCCATCCATTCCTCTCTTTCCTCACCCTTTCCCATCGCTCAAATCACTTCCTCTTGAAGCTATATTTACCTGACACTCCTACTACCAAACATGAGCTGCTGATGTACCAACAATTTTTCTATGGAAGTAAATGACATTCATTTATTCACCAAGATTGTGTCATGAACAGTTGATGGAATACAAACAGTTTATGAATTTGTTAATTTGTTTGTATTGTTTTTGTATCAGATCAGTCTGTATGGGGAGGTTATTTGGTTATGTGTCCCAGATCATTCAACCAGTCCAGTGTAAGAGATGCAGACCCCTCCCATGAACTCGTTATACGCATGTTCATACCAGTGTCACGTATTGGGTGTATGACGCGACAAATAGATTCACGTAGGCCTCAAATTAAGCAGAACCTTTATTGTTCGTCCGCTTACACAATCACGAGTACAACTACTATTCACTGTGGCACCTCAGCTGTCTTCTGCGGCGGATGTTCCTAGACTGAAGACTTCTCGTCGAAGCTGGACTTTTATAACCTTGGCCGCTGCTAGGTAACGAACCCTCTGTTATAGCGGTGGAGACGTTGCATTGTTGGTTCCGCGTTCCCTACGCAATGACCCATTGTTATTGCGTTGTCTCTGTGGGAACGCTACGCGTATTTGTCGTAGCCGTGGAGATTCGATGTTCTCGGTACAACGGCTCACTGTTGGGATTACAGTGCCGCTATTGTTACTTCATATGTAACGGTCCATTCTAGTGTTTCCATAGAAGTTACTCCTCTGGTTTGCCGACACGTTACACCAGCATAACAGGTGACAAGCCCACGGACAAACAAGATGCACCCAGATCACAGCAGAAACCAGAAATGCTGCCTGCTGTTATGTACACATCCCTTGCACTCCATAAAATGTTCACATTTGTGTGCTGCAATTCTTCCTTTGGAAGCATGGAAAACTTGAAACTTCATTCTCCAAGCAAGGTGTCAAATAGATTTTGATGGAAATGTTGATGCCTAGCATCAGTTTCATCCAGTTTCTCACCATTGGGCGTCCAACATTTTAATTTTTCTTTTTCCAATAACAACCATGTTTGCTAAATTTATATACTGTAGTATGAATAGTCTTTTTTGTTTGGAACTGAAACATCTCAAAATTTATGCCAAATTCTTATCACTTTTCGGCTGGGTACATATTGACTCTTACAGGTCATTTTCATACAAGAAACAGGATTGATAGAATGTTTAATTTTCCAGTGGGTACTGGGGGGCTCTCTTCCTGGGGTAAAGCAGCCTGGGCCTGAAGCTGACCACTCATCTCCAACTAGTGCCAAGGTCCAGAGAATCTATTCATCCACTCCTCCATATGTCTTCATGGCGTAGTGCTTAAATAGTTAAGGACAGGGACAACTTTAACTTTACCGTACAGAATTTGAAATTGTCTTAAATGACTGCAGTGAACTTACAACCGAGACATGTACCTTCAGGTGTTACTTGCATCATTTAGAATTTGTGGTGTAATTTGCTCATGAGATTTTGTTTGGGATTTTTGTTTTTCCCAAAAAAGAACATTATCACTAGAGCTGTAATTGTTAAATGGTCGCAGCATTTAGTTTAGTATGAAAAATAACTTCCCAGTCATTTATAAATCTGCCATGTTGTAAAGATAATGTGATGTATTTTTTCAGGGAAGAAGATATCATGAAGAAATTTGCTAAGCTGGAACAATGGAAGCATGAAGTTAAGGTTAATGCTGCCAAAAAATTGGCAGAGGTAGAAGCTGCCAAGGTAGGCATAAGAATAAGATATTTTCCTAAATATATAATGCACTTGGAAGTAGGGGGCACGCGGTAGTGTAGTTGGTTGAGGCACTATGCTACAAGCCAAAAGGTTGCGGGATTGAATCCCGATGAGGTGGACTTTCTTCAATTTACCTAATTCTTCCGGCAGCACGATGGCTCTGGGGTCGGCTCAATCTCTAACAGAAATGAGTACCAGGAATATTCTTGAGGGTAAAGAATGGTCGGTGCGTAAGGCAGACAACCTCACCACCATCTGTGAGCTGATTGTCTAGAAAATGTGGGATCCTCGATGTCTCACGTCCCCTATGGGCCTTCATGGCCTGCTACAAGGGATAGCTTTGCTTTACTTAACTTTTGCTTGGAAGTAGTCTCAACTAACTTACTCCATGAAATTTAGAACTTCTTGAGAATCCACCACTCACTCATCTAATCAAGAATGTCCCAAGAGTTTATGGACCCAGAAAGTTCGTTACTATGTTCACAGGAGCCCACCACTGGTCTCTATACTGAGCCAGATGACTCCAGTCCACATTACACCATCTTATTTCTCTAAGATTAATTTTAATATTGTCCTCCCTCCTACATGTAGGTTTTCTTAGTGCCCTTTTTGCTTGTGGCAGTCCCAGTGAAACACTATATGCATTCCTCTTCAACCCCATGTATGCTACATGCTCTGCATATCTAATCGTCATTGACCTGATCATTCTAATTATATTTGGCAAAGAGTACAAGTTATGAAGCTCATCATTGTGCATTTTTTGTGAAGTAAGGTGTTTTTTAGAAAGGTTTAGACCAGTATGAAGTGAAGTTAAAGCCTTTCAACAATCTTTATCATAAACCCCAGTACCAGAAATTATCAGAATCATGCCAGGAATGAGAGAAAGCACAGATCCACCATTATGAATTTATTTTATGCATTTTGTACAGAGAACATATGAAAAGAAGTTAGTAATCATTATCTAACCTCATTAAAATCTTCTAAACTAAGTAAATATTAAGTATTGACTATAGCTTGCAAATATTTTCTTTTCTTTGCAGGCGAAGAAAGCTAGGTTGGTGGAGGAAGTGCGTCGTCACTTCGGGTTCAAAATTGATCCTCGGGATGATCGCTTTAAGGAACTGTTAGAAGAGAAAGAAAAAGAAGAACGTAAAAAGGCCAAAGATGCTAAGAAGAAAGCCAGACAACAGCTGGTAATGACCAGGTTGAAGGAACAGATGCAGCTAACTCAGGAGGAGAACAGAATAGTGTCTGATAATGTAGAACAGAAACCATAATGTGCTGCATCTGTTTGTATAGTTTCTTCTGTAACCAGATATGAAATTTGTACATTTTAGTGGTAATTTACACAAAAGGCCATTTTTTTCTGTAGTGACTGAAATTCAGTATGCATTACAATTTATCCTGTATGCATTTTTTATTTACGGTAATTTTGTTATAAAATTGAAATTGAAATCTAATGAACAACAGAAGAAACAAGATGAAGAATTTGTCTGAATTTCTATATTTTTCTCATTGCACAGGAGAATGAACCTGTACTTCACTTAGCCAGTGGTTATGTTTACATTATACATATAAATAAGAAGTTCTGGGAAGAACTAATAGCCTACTTTCCTTTCACTGTAATTTGAGTATCTGACATGACAAGTAGAAAGAAAATTTTAAGTATGTGTGCTAATTGAATTCAATAAAGCAATACAGTTTGGACACTTCAGTGTTGGTATTACCGATGGGACTAACTTACGAAGTGCATCATTGAGGTGGCCTCAGATGGCATGATATACATACCAGTTTTCATGAAGATTGGTTGTAGCTTTCATTTAATGTTAAGGGTATTACCTCAACAGTTTGAGAGGCTGTATAGTATCGGTGTTACTGATGAGAGGGATTTGTTATGTATGCCATTGAGATGGCCTCAGGTGGCATGATATATACCGTATTTACGCATGTATAGGCTGCGTGCGTGTATAGGCCGCAGCACAATTTTGAGACTGAAATTATAGAAAATATAATTTTCTTGGAATATTATTTCAGGAGTAGAACACCCCGTATTACTAATTATGAATATAATTTTTTTTAAATGAAGTGTGATTTCGAATATTTCGAGTATAAGCCGCACCCCAGTTTTCCTCTTGAATTTTTGGCAAAAAATGTGCGGCCTATACATGCGTAAATACGGTACATACCAAGCTTCATGAAGGTTGTTACAGGCGGTCAAGCAGTGTTCAGGTTTTGCCTCCAAAATTTGAGAAGCTTCAGTGTTGGTATTACTGATCAAAGGAATTCATGAAGTACACCATTGAGAGGAGCTTGCTCAGATAGTGTGATATACATACAAAGTTTCATGAAGATTGGTACAGAGGTTCAAGCAATATTAAGGTTCTCCTCAGCAATTTGAATGGCTGTAATGTTTGTATTACTGATGGAGGGGATATGTGTGAGTGTGCCATTGAGATTGACCCAGGTGGCATGGTGGCATTATATTCACAGAACGTTTCATGAAGACTGGTATAGGCGTTGAAGCAATATTAAGATTTTGCCTTAGCAATTTGAAAGGCTGTAATGTTGGTATTACTGATGGTGGGGATGTGTGAATTATGCTGTTGCAATGGGCTCAGGTGTCATTATACTACATGTATCAAGTAATATTTAAGTAATGTCATGGTTATTACTGCAACAGTTTGAGGGGCTGTAATGTTGGTATTACTGATCAAGGGGACTTATGAAGTACACCATTGAAATGTGTTCATATGGCATGGTATACATACCAAGTTTCATATAAATTGGTACAGGCATTCGCGCAATAGAAAGATTTTGCTTCAAGAATTTGAGAGGTTATAATGTTGGTATTACTGATGGGAGGGATGTATGAATTACTTTGATGAGATGGGCTAAGGTGTCATGATATACATACCAAGTTTCATAAAGATTGTTTTAGGGATTCAAAAGTCGTTATGGGAGGATAGACGTGTAGACACACAGGCAGCAAGGTGATCTCATAAGCGTAACTAACTTTAAGGAGCTCGGCCCATTTTGAGAAACTGCCAGTTGTGCAGCTACTCAAGAACTTCCCAACATTTTATGGAACCCGAAGGGTCATTACTGTGTTCACAGGAGCCCTCCACTGTCTCCCATCTTGAGTGAGATCGGTCCAGTTCGTTCCACCCCATCCTCTCTCTCTAAGATCCATTTTAATATTATTCATCCACCTGCATCTTGGTCTTAACAGTGGTCTAGTTCATTCTAGCTTTCCCACCAATATCCTATGTGCATTCCTCTCAGCCCCATTCATGCTACATGCCTTTCCATTTCATCCTCCTTGACATAATCATTCTAATTATACTTAGTGAAGAGTACAAGTTATGAAACTCCTCATTATGCATTTTTCTCAGACACCCTTGGTCCATGTTCGTCCCTTAATGTCAGATACCAAGTTTTGCACCCATCCAGAACCACAGGCAAAATTATAGTTTTATATATTTTAATTTTTATATTTCTAGATGCCAGACAAAAAGGCAAAAGGTTCTGAACTGAGTCGTTGCAAGTATTACCCATAATCTTCTCATATTTTGCTCATGAACAAAATTTTCATTTGGCACTGTTCTTAAATATCTTAATTTGCCACATTTTCAAAGGATATATTATCTATCGTTTTGTTATGATTTTGTCCTGCATTCTGGTGGCGAGACATCAACATATATCTTCATTGGTTGCATCCTGTTGTGTGTTTCAGAGATATATAGGAGTTATGTTTGAGGCACTAAGCTACAAGCTGGAAGGTCGCGGGATCTAATCCCAGTGAGGTCATTGGATTTTTTCAGTTTACCTAATCCTTCCAGCCGCACTATGGCCCTGAGGTTGACTCAGCCTCTTAACAGAAATGAGTACCAGGGATATTCTTGGAGGTAAAGGGTAGCCGGCATGTAGGGCAGGCAGCCTTACTGCCATCTATGAGCCAATTGTCTAGATAATATGGGAACCTCAACATCTTACAACCCTATGGGCCTCCAAGGCCTGTTACAGGAATACCTTTACTTTTTTTTATATAGGAATTATGTTTATCATCAACACAACAAACGCTCAGTTTAAGGATTCTGATGATGGTGTATAACACACAAAGATATTGGGTTTTTGGACTTTATCCATCGTCCTGGTTTTAAGATAACTAAGAAAAACACGACGTTTTGGAAACAGATCCAGTTTCCA